TTCTTTTGCTAGAAACCCAGCATTGACCTTGAAAATATCATTCGTGTTGGTAAACACATGCTGATTGTTTTACCAGACTTGGAAATCTGTGCTTTAGCTGTGACCTCAAGACACCCTTGCTCCAAAAACAGCTGCCTATAGGTCTCAGCCCAGATGGGCAAGCGTCCAGTGGATCTGAGGCTTGGAGAGAAGTAGTCTAAAGGTAATGCATTTATTTGAGCCCCTTTGATCTAGAATCAGGCTGACAAACCTGGGAGGCTAGACTCGCCTGGAGATTTTCAGGCTTTTCCTCGGATTCAGCCGGCTGTGCTTGAGAACGGTCTACCCTCTGGCATCTTAGGCCTTGGGCTTTGAATAACTTGATATTACAAATTAAAATCACCCTGAAATATGAATGAAAGGTTTTAAAAAGAAAAGAAATTAGATTTTGTTCCAATTAGACCTCTTGAAACTGACAAACAGGGGCTGTCTCTGAGCTGGCTTATTTACTTGCAAGATAAACTAAATTCAGCGAAGAAAAAAAGCCCAAATCAAGCAGAAATCACAGAAGGCGTTGAGAAAATATTACTCTTAGTAAATAATAATTATTCAGTTTTTCAGATACTCTAATAGCATTTTTCCTGTTCATAAAAGTGTACATGTATACTACAGAAATTTTGAAAATATAAATAATAAAACTACCCATAAACCACCACACAGAGATCATATTGGGCACATTTTGAGGTGTCTCCTCTCAGCCTTGTTTCTATGCACATATTTATAAATTCTTTCAAAGTCACTCGGAAGCTTTTTTTTTTTTTTTTTTTAGAGAGAGAGAGAGAGTGGGGAGGTTGGGAGGAACAGAGTGAGAGAGAGAATCTTAAGCAGGCTCCACGCCCAACACAGAGCCTGACGCGGGGCTTGATCTCACAACGCTGAGATATGACCTGAGCTGAAATCAAGAGTTGGACGTTTAACTGACTGAGCCACCCAGGCACCCCCGCTCTGAAGCATTTTAAAGGTAGAGATCGTGGATTAAACTATAACTAACTCATTTGAAAACCAGATGAGTTAAGTGGCCATATTTTAAAATCATTTTTTTCCTAATTAAAGAAATAAAGTATACCCAGTAAAAGAAATGTGTCAAATACAGAAAAGCGCAAAGGAAGACAACAAAAATCACTTGAATTCCAACCAAAGGAAACTATGATTAATGTTTTGATATGTATCTTTCAGTATTTTTTCCTTGTGTATATGTGCCTTTCTTATTTATTAAAAATAGCAAACAGTGTACCCCAGTTTACTGTTTGCATTTTTCATTTAGTGATACAGAAATGAATATTTCCCTTAAGAATAAATGTTCTTCTACCTGATTTTTAATGGCTATCTAGACCCTATTCCTCCACATAGATGTACAATAATTTACCTCACCAATCTCCTATGTGGAATTTATAGGTTGCCTATAAATTTTCATATTATAAACAATGTCATTGTTAACATACTTATGAATAACATCTGACTACTCTCTCATAACAAATTCTTAGAGAGTAAAATTGTATTAAAGGGTATATATATTTATTCGATAGATAATTCTAAATTGCTTCCAGAAAGGTTCTACTAATTTATACTTCACTAGTCCAAGCTTCTGAAAACATGACTTAGTGGCAATGTAATTATCTCTGTTTTGCCAGTTGAAACAATTAAGGCCAAAACCAGTATCATGGTGAGCGTGACCCAGCGAGTCCTTGAGAAGAGTCACCATCACGTCAATCCGGGATATAGTTTCACGTGTGCTTAGTGTGTGAATGGTGTGGACTGTCATTTAATTCTTACAACCACACCCCCAAGAATTATTTTTTAATCCCCACTTTTAGATATGGAAAGCAAGGCTCAGAAACCTTAAATCCTTGCATTTTGTATCCATGACACCATGCTGTCTCCATGACCATAGACTTCCGCATGATGATGGAGTCAGAGAATCCTAGCCCGGAACCCCAGTTCTACAAACACCAGGCACTTCAAACCTCACAGAAACACATGCTTCACTTTAAATAAGTCAACGAGATAAGCATTCTCCTCTTTGATACGTATAACATCAATGCTCCTAGATTTTTTTTTTTTTTGGGTAAAAAGAGCTTCAAGGTTTTGTCCTCCTCTCCTGGGGGCTAGGAATGAGGGAAGGGAGGGAGGCCGCTGAGAGGACCAAGCAAGGTGAAGGAGCCTGTCTTCCAGGTCTGCATTGGCAGACCTCCCGCTTTGAATCAGAAGTAGGGAATTTGCTTTGGTTTCCTGACTGGGTTGCCTTGTTTATCAGCCACAGGGCAAGAAACATGACACAGCCATGAAGTAAAGTTGACATGTCATCCTGGGGAAAAGGGAGTGATTCCAGAGGCTGAGTCACTGCTCTGCTGCAGGTACGGAATGAGGCACCCTACAGAAATGCTGAGCCGGTTGCCAGACTGCGGGCTTGAGTAACAAAGAGAGACAGGTCTATGGATGACCTAACACACGCTGATTATTTTGAAATTCCTGAGTTGTAAAAATGGAGAATGACAAAGTTTCAAGTAGATCTACATTCACTCTTCCTTTGCAACAGAAATCAATCTCACGGTTGCATAAAAGTCGGACATTTCATGAACAATAGTGGCAGCCATTCAGGTGATTTATCTGGGGAAGCGTATCCATATATCTGCAAATTCCCCCACACGTGCTGGCGCCTGAGTTCTTTCTACTTTTTTTCTGCTTTCTTCTCCATCAACTGTCGTTGTCGACACGCACCCGTGTGTTTTCTGAAAAGACGGAGGGCGAGCCGCGAGCCCCATAGCACACACTAGGCAAGCGCCATGAAGAGAGAAGACATCAGAGCCCGTCCTGTCTAGCCAGAGACCTAAGAAAACCTGCTTGTGATTCTGTCAGTACACCGGCAATGCCCCTAAAGGAGCCTCTACCACCCAGCTGGAAGGTCATCATTCTATGCCTCAGTTTCCTCTTCTATAAAATAGGGGCAAGAATAGGTAAAAAAAAAAAAAAAGGGGGGGGGGCTCCTGGATGGCACAGTCAGTTAAGCATCCAACTCTTGGTCGTCTCAGTGCCGTGAGATCGAGCCCCATGTCGGGCTCCGCGCTGGGCGTGGAGTCTGCTTAGGATTCTCTCTCTGTCCCTTTCCCCCTGCCTCTCTCGCTCTCAAATAAATAATTTTTTTTTAAAGAACAGGTTAAAAAAGGAGGGGACATTGGCCACTGGCGTGTGACAAGGATTCAGAAATGCCAGTGTCGTAATGCTGCTCACTCAACCCCAGCTGCTTCATCTCCCACCTCCCAATGTTCCCAATGTTTAGTTGCCCTTCATCCATGGGATGCCGGGAAGAGCTCTAGGTCAGTCATTAGAAGGCATCACTTTAGCTCAGAATCCGTTATTTATCACGTATCTGTTGTAGGCTCTTAATACTAGTAGTCGTAGCAGTGGTAGTAATAGACAACCTGACGTTGTGCTTGGCATTTTATACCAACTTAATCCTCACAATAACTTGTTGACAGAGGTAATATTATTCTCCTAATTTTACAGTGAAGCTTAAAGAGAATATATAATTTGGTCAAGGTCCCACAGCTTGTAAATGTGAATTTCCTGGAATTCATCCAGGAAAACTGTTTCCAGAGCCCCTGATCCTAACCATTATTCTACCTTAACTTTCCCAAGTTGTTTTTTTGCCCACCAGGACCTTATTATTTGATCAGTGGGTGTAAAGAATATTTTGGAGGCCTGTTCAGCATCTTTTGGGGAGGAAGAGCTGCTCTTCTATTCCACAAGGTTCCATTAGAACTATAGATCAAAGGGTCTTTGGCTACAATCATCCTGTACCCCAACCACAGAGCCTGAGGGAGGACAGTCAGACTCTTCCCCTTCAATTATTGTATATACAACATGAGAAAGAATTTTTCTACTGAAGTTGCTTATCTGGGATGGCCAGGGGCCATATTTCCCATGGTGTGGACAGGGCCTTCCTTTGCTGGAAAAGAAAAAGATCTAGGGATAATCAGAAATAAAATACGGATGGCTACTTAGAATTCCTAGTTCCAGCTCAGTGACCCTGGGTCTCTTCGTTACCGCTTCAACTCCATGATCAACCCGGTCCTTCAACTGTATAAACCAATAGCCTCATGTTTGCGTGACTGCGAGCTCTGCATTTTTTGCTTGCAATCAAGGAAGCAGGTAAGGGGCATGAGGGGGAGCTGTAGACAAAAGGTGCACAGAGGTGAAGTAAATTACTTTTAGTGAATAAAACAGCATTAGAGACAAAATTTTGAAAAGTCAAGTTAGAAGGAAATCATGTTAGAACCAGAGCACACTTGAAAAAGCATTTCGTGCAAACTCCTCATTTTACAGATGTGGAAACTGACTTGCAAATGGACAAGGTAAATTGCATGGTGTTAGGCAACTGGCTGGGGGTGAGCTCGGGATTTGGCTGAATTCAAGTGGCCTCCCACTTTCCCTGGACTCTTTCTGGCACCTGCCCTACCTTCCCATTTAGGTAGGTGGATAGGAGATGAGTGCATTGCAGATGAATGTATAAACAATGGGTAGGTGAATGGACAGATAAATTGGTAGATGGACAAATAGAGGCTAATAGATGGAGAGATAGAAACAGATTTAGCAGATTTAATTATATAATAAAAGCCATTGGAAAATTGAGATTAAGCTAAGAGATGGCGTAGTCGAAAAAACACCACACTAAGAAAACATTCCAGATTTTACATATGGTCCTGTGCTCACTAGCTGTGTTAACTTGGACAAGTCCTTGAGCTTCTGTGAATCTCAGTTACATGCATAAGGTGGTCATAAATACATTGTGAAAAAGCACACATGTGAATCCTCTGCTAACTGTGAATTTTTTTTAGGATTTATTTATTTTAGAGAGAAAGAGAGAGAGCACGTGAGCAGGGGGAGGAGGAGAGGGAAAGGAAGAGAGAGAATCTCAAGCAGACTCCCTACTGAGCGAGGAGCCCAGTGCGGGGCTCAATATCATGACCTTGAGATCATGACCTGAGCCAAAACCAAGAGCTGGATGCCTAGTGCTTCTAACCCAGTTCTGCTTGGTGTTTTTCTTTCTTGTAACACATTCACGTTTCCTGCCATCTTGGAAGTGTCCTCCACTTTAAAAAAAAAAAACACACTTACAAAGAAGAAAGACATTAGATCCCTACTTCACACAATCAAAGAAGTTGATTCAAGTTATATTTCAGATCCAAATGTCAAAAAATAAATAAAAAATAAAAAACCAAAAAATAAAAACCTTTCAAACTTTCTGACCATGGAGCAGGGAGAGATTTTTTTAAAACTAGACCAACCAGAAAAAAAGTGCATGACTCATAAAAGAACGATTGATAAATTAAAATTCATTAAGCTTTGAAATGTCTGTTCATCAGAAGGTCCCACTCTCCAACTCCAATTTAATTAAGTTAAACATGTGTTGGTGTGCGTCCCATTTGGGCATCACCACCCTGATGTGAGGTGCTCAGCCAAAGGTTGTCGCCACACTCAGGACTGCAATAATTTAGGATGTCATTGCCCTGGAAGGATCTTACTGTTCCCATCAGGGCTTTAGCTAGATGATTTAGGGACTGGGAGATGGAGTTTGGGGGAATGTGTGCAAATCCTTTGCTACCAATGGAAAAAGAATTTAATACACATGACCAAACAGGTGTCATGAACACCTTGAGGGAATGGAGTTCATCTTCTTTCTTTCTAGATCTTAAGAGCCTTGGACAGGATCTGACACAAAAAAGGCCCTTCATATGTGAAGGGACAGAGGATAACATTGTCCTCACTCAGAGAAGAGAGCTATTGCTTAGCTCAATTTCACCAGGGACTTCTTACACTTTCATGTTCATTACCCTGTGGCTGTCTTCTCCAGGCTCTATTGGTTATGAACATTATATCCTCCCTCCCCCAAAAAAGCAATCAGCAGAACACCCCGACCACAGTGACATCCACAGTGTGTCTTACAGTTTGCAAATTATTTCCAACCTTACAGGAACATACCTCTCGCTTCTGTTTTTGGTCTGACCTCCCTAACGCTTAGACCTCGTGGATGAGGACTCTGGCTCCCAATATTTGTCTCAGTCCTCTCTCCAAGTTCGAGAAATGATTCACAGCCGTGAGGCCTCCACCCGCCACCGTCCACAGAGCCCTGCTTATGATGGGCCAGCACGACACACTTCACAGGCATTGTCTCATTTAGTCTCAGCAACTGATGAGGTAAGCACTATTTTTGTCCCTATTTGACAACTGAAGAAACTGAGGGACAAAGAGGTGAAGTCATGTGCCCAAGGTCACACTGCTGCCACGTGGCCGACTGAAGACCAAGTCGCCTGACTCCAGAGTCAGGCGCTTACCACTACCCTCAACTACCTCTCTTTAGGCTGTGCCCCTTTGCTTGTGCCTCTTGGATGCTCTATGTCCCTCAACCGCAGGCTTTCACCCCCTCTTAGCTTTGATGAGCTCAGAGCTCTAGGTGATAGCGTTCCCTCTACCAGCCTGCACCCCAAAAGTCTCAAAACAGACAAGACGAATCCTCAGAAAGCAGATGATGCTGGGGCGTGCCTCTGAGATCTCTCCTTCAGGACAGAGGCTCTCATTCCCCCCAGGTGCTGGAAGAGTTGGCTGCTGACGGCTCACAACTGAGACTCTTTCCAGGAACCGCTCCTGCCTGATGGGAGTCACTAAGATCCCCCACCCCACGCACCCCCCTTTCCAGAAGCAGGCAGCCAGTGATTGGTGGATACAGCATGCAAGCCCAGCCTTCTAGCCTCAGCTGGGGCCAACTTCAAAGGGCCATCCTGACTCCAGAACGATTGCAACTACTTTAGAGTTTCAGTCCTCCCTGTCCCTAGGTCAGCTTCCTCCACTCCTCAGCAGGCCTTAGTCCCAAGAACACTCTCCAATAAATGTCCTGCATGCTCCTTGCAGCCTCAGACCCAGATTCCCAGGAATCCCTCCAAACACAGAAGTTAATCAAACATCTCTGAGCAATGCTTTATCTCCTGATGGCAGAGGGAGGCCTCATGCAGGCTGTGGTCTCAAACCTCTCCCAGTGTTCCAGTTTTCCCGCCCACCTGGTCTTTGGCAGTGCTGTGTGCATACTGGCTCTTTCTTTTATTCTTTCAGTTCACTAGAATTTTCTGGTGTTTATTACTGTGTCTATGGGATTCACCTACACCTACAGCCAACAACAGGGCTGTGCTCTTCCTACATTTCCCCTATCCCTGACAATGCCTGGAGTGTCCCAACCTGGGACCCAAGTCACGATGATCATGCTCTCAACAGAGCCCGCACCTGTGGGCAATGGACATGCTTGCAATTTACATGCATAAAACATAAACAGACATGGACAGGTGTAGGAGGATCGCTGGGTCTTGAAGATGCAGTGTATCCCTACAGGTAACCCCAGAACTCTTTGGCTAGTGTCCCATCTTCTCTCTTAGCTTGGACCCTTGTTTCTTCCATATCAAGATGCCATCGTACATTCTGAGAAGCCTCTTTGTCTCCTACTCCTTTCACTTGAATCTGTTGTGCACTCCGCTGCCAGATTTATGTTCCTAAAGGATGCTCTCACCATACTCCTCCCTGCTTAACCACCTTTGTGCTGCCCACTCCCTACCTAAGGAAGCCACACATGTCATCCTAGCATCCCAAACCCTATCCGACACAGCTGAGATCCCGAGGCAGCCAGCATTTCGCTTTGTGATGTTGCTCATTCTCTTTTGTTCAAACGCTCATCAGGAAACCTCAGGATCCATACAAAGAGCTGCCAACAGTTTGGACTATACTTCTCTAATAACTTCGGCTCAGTCTCCCTTAATTTATGGTCATTTGTATACTTGGCTTCTCTTCCCTTCAAGATTATGAGCAGCTCGGGAGAAGATATACTACCAATCTTAGTGCTAGGACAGTATCAGACACATAGTGGGCCCTCAAGAGAGATTCACTGAAGTGACTTATCATCTCCCAGGGGAAACAGATTTATTCTCTTCCCTTTCTCCCTGCCTTTCTGCCAGTCTTTATATTCCTGAAGCCCATCTATATCGACGTTATAGGATATAATGATTTAGTCATATTAAGCAGAAAACAACACATGGCATATTGAGACGCTGCCCTGAAACACGCCTTGGGAGAAGGATGATTTGAACGCTAAGGAAGAGCGGAGGGAAAGGAGGTCACTGCTTTAACCTAAAGCGAGAGAATTTACAATTTCGAAACAAAGATATTCAAACAGTGGATTAAGCCGAGGGTTGGGAGGAGTCCTATAAAGTAGGCTAGAAATCAAAGGTACAGGTGGTAAATGTATTAATTTCAAAAAAAAAAAAAAGGTGACTATTTTTCTAAAGGAATTCAAAGCCTAGTGCACTGCCTTTTGTCCTTTCCTAGACAATTGGACACTGGGCCACTCCTCTGGCTCTGGGGGCCCTGACCATCTCTCCTGGCCAGTTCAGGTTGCTATTCTATCCTGCCCCAGGCTCCTGAGTCCCAGCTCTGCGGACAGTGACATCATTCTATCACAGCACAGCCTACAAACATCCCTGCCTCCCATTCAAACACATCCCCTTTTTCCACGGAGTCTTGTTCCCCTGACAAATGTCTGGAAGCTTCTGGTGGGAAGTCAAGCTCAACTGACCTTCAGAGATAATGAAAAAAGGGTGAGACACAAAGAGTTTCTTAATGAACACAGTGGTGACTCTGAGTTGCATTTGGACCTGCTGACCTATTCTTCCTCCTCCGAGCTTTGGCCCTCTGCTCTAGGTCATGGGTATTTCCCTCCAAGGGCATCTCTGTTCCTGCTGGCTGTCAAATTCTGGAATTGGCCCCGGGTGGTGAGAAAGGAGGGAGCTTCTCTCCCCTACTTTTCTAACAAATTGTCAAAACGGACAGAGGCCTAGTGTTTAAACCTCAAGCCATCTAGGGTGGGTAAGGTATTGAGAAATGCTCTAGAATAGATTCAAAGTCAATGAGGGGACAAATGTGGATAATGGTAGTTGCAAGAAGGATTTGCGCACTGCAGAAAATTTATCCCAATACATATCTGTCTATAACATCCCTTGTTTCTTTATTGCAGTTGCCTTTACAAGAGAGTCTCTGATGCCAGACTCAGACACGTATCAGTGGAGACCCAGTGGTCACTGTAGGCACAACAACCTGCAATCCCAAACATCCACTCTTGTGCCCAACACTGCTCCGGCCCCAGGGCCACCTCCTTCATCTCTGTCCTTGAAGGAAAAGGCACTGCATCTGAGTACCGAGTACTGAGAAGGTGTGTTTGCACCACTGCTGACTTTGGAGATGACCATGACTTTGGAGCGTACAGAGGACTAGGGCAGCAGAAATGCTGAGAAAAGAAAAAAGACAAATTCTTTACCTTGTTAATTCTTCCCTCCCATAGCAAGGATGTAATAAATTCTTGCATAATGAAGAATTACTTCCCAATAGTGCCAAAAGTCCACTCTCTTCTCTTCACGTTCCAATTCAGGGTTCTGGGGGTACACAAAAAAATTACACAGTACGCCTAACAGTTGCACATGCATTTCGGCTAACATTTTGCAATATCACATAACTTATATTTCTTTAATTTTGTACACAAATACAGTTCTAGACAGAATATATCTGCTGTGCAAAAGCAGTTCTTGACATTAGCAGCTAAATGAACTTTGCTAGAATTGCAAATAGTTTTATTTTTATAAAAATACACATGGAGGTGAAATTAAATCTTTAATAAATATCTTTTAAAAATGTTCAGATCTATTTAAATAATTTTAACTTTTGATATTCACTAAGTAATTTATATTTTGCATTTCGGTCACAATGGATAATTTTGACTATTTTGGAAAAAATAAGTTTTTTGAAAACATAGCTAAAATAATTAAATTTCTAGCTCCTCACATTAACGTTAATCTACATATTGATTAAAATATATTCAAATTTTGTACATTTTAATATAATTACATTTATTTTTAATCTGTTAGATTATTGCTATCAAAGGAACACAGATTGTGACAATCTTGATTATAAGAATATAATTAATGATTTTGCCGAAATGAAGGCAAGAAAATGAATCTTTAAAAATAAATATATAATCATTTGTAAATTCATGTCTTTATTCTTATTACTCATCCAAACATTGCTTGCCAAACAACATCCCAGACAGACTTGCAAAGGATCAGATTCCTCCCCCTTTGATATTTTGCTAATATTTAGTCATAGAAAAAATATAGCTCTACAAATACTTTTCTATTTTGTGTTGTGAAGGCATATCAAGGGGGAGGACAGAACAATTTTTAAATGGTTTATTGGCTTGACTTATAACTTTAAAATAACTAGACATACGGTACAAGAGCACCAGGCCTGGGAAGGATGGGAGTAGGCAGCTCTCCGACTTCTATGGCTGCTGACCCAACAGTGTTTTCTAACTTTATTGAGTAGCTACACCTGGACGGGCACCCTACTAAGTGCCTTCATGTATGTCCTTCATCCTCGCCACAGGCCTTTGGAGGTAGGCACCGTTCTGATTTAGACGGGGAGGCTGGGATGCAGGGAGGGAAGTTACTGGCTCATGGCCACAGTGATGACCAGATGAGCGGTCCCTCACCCTGGCCTCTGGGACTCCAAATCTCTCTGCAACCATCCCTGCCACTTCCCGCTTCCCCGCCTTCCCTCCCCCTCTCCGTGGCAAAGGCTCACAGGCCACGTCTGTTCCTTGTTTACTTCCTAGAGATCCTCTGATAAATGCTTTAATTGTGTCACCTGTTATATACCTCTTTAAAACTACCTGCGCATCAATACATCTGTTATGGATTTCAAGCTCATTAAATAATCTAAACACGCCGTATGCCATGTGCAGACACTTGATAAATTACATTTTTGCCACCACTGTATTTGTAAAACTTTTGAAACAGCTGAAATGCTTAATACATTTCGCTGCATTAAGAACTGAATTAATAAACACTGCTATAAGCATTCGATGGACTATCATACAGGAAGTGAGAATATTGGTAATGAAGGTTACCAAAACATGGAAAACACTTAAAACAGATACAAAGGTAAGTGAAAAAAAAAAAAGAAGCACATAAAATTACACATACCATATGTCAGAATTAGGTAAAAATTAGTATACGCATGAAAACAGACACACAGGAAAAGAAAAAGACAGAAACTTACCACTAAATGCTAATGGTGGTTGTATTTAACGGTGGTTATTAATGTACTAGAGTGATTTTTTTTTCTTTTATTTTCTTTTATCCTGTTTTTAAAATGGTTTGGGATTAGGTTAGTTTCATACTGAAAACGTATTATTTGTTTAGAATGCATTTTTTTTTTTCCTGCAAATAATGACGAGGGATTTTGGCCCAATTTCGTATGATCTGTGCTACCACCTAATCATTTGCATGACATGCCTATCTCCCTGGCTCTGTGCATTCTTCAAGATGAAAGCTACCCTGGCCGAGGAGGCTCTCCGTAAGTCTGCCTGCTGTTGGCAAGATGCATTTTACAGATCAAGTACTTTAGGCTTTGTCTTATAAATTAGGAGGAGCAGAGATGAAAAGGACCGAGGGTCTTGAGGTTTTAATACAAACTCTGCCAACAGAAAAGTTCTATCACTTTCTAAAGGCAATGCTGTCCATCAAATGCTCCCCAGGGACATGGAACCGCGCCACTTGGTCAGCGAGCTCCAGATAAAAGCAGCTTGTGATCAGAACGCCTCCTCTCTCTAGTGACCAGTACCTCTGGGCACGTCATAGCTCCCAGGCCTTTGAGGGAATTCTGGCATCCTCATAGGGATGTGCCAGATTGGGAGCGAGCCTTGAGGGCCATAAAAACATCTGTGAGTAGGGCGCCTGGGTGGCTCAGTTGGTTAAGCGACTGCCTTCGGCTCAGGTCATGATCCTGGAGTCCCGGGATCGAGTCCCGCATCGGGCTCCCTGCTCGGCGGGGAGTCTGCTTCTCCCTCTGACCCTCCTCCCTCTCATGCTCTCTGTCTCTCATTCTCTCTGTCTCAAATAAATAAATAAATAAAATCTTTAAAAAAAAAAATCTGTGAGTAGCTAGGAAGAACCCCTCAGAAGCTGGGATGAAGCTCTCTTTAAAAAGCCCCGCCGTGAGGGGCACCTGGGTGGCTCAGTCATTAAGCGTCTGCCTTTGGCTCGGGTCATGGTCCCAGGGTCCTGGGATCGAGACCCGCATCGGGCTCCCTGCTCGGCGGGAAGCCTGCTTCTCCCTCTCCCACTCCCCCTGCTTGTATTCCCTCTCTCGCTGTGTCTCTCTCTGTCAAATAAATAAAATCTAAAAAAAAAAAAAAAAGCCCCGCCGCAAGCCTGCGTTACACATCTGCTTCACCTGAGCCTGTCTTGGGTTTTAAGATCAAGAGCCCCCACCCAGTGGTAAGTGTCAAGAACAGGAAAGACTTAGTCAATGGAAAAATCAAAATCTCTGCTGTCTCTTCCCATTCTTCCCCCTTTCCTTCCTTCCATCCAAAAACCCACTGTGTGCCAGCTACTGTCCCCAACACCGAGGACCCAGAGTCACATTAGACATGGCGGTGGCCTGGAGGAGCTTGAGGTCCACCCCTTCCCACTGAGAGCGTGGTCCTGGGATCGCCCGGAAGCTTGTGGGAAATGCAGATTCCCCCCACCCTTGCCCCACCACAGACCTACTGACTCAGAATCTGGATTTTTAACAGGTTCCCCAGGTGACAGACAGGCACACAGAAGGTTGAAAAGCTCTGGCCAACAGAGCTCTGGGAAGGCAAGCCCAGTGTTTTTCTGAGTAAGGTTAAGAGTGGACCGTGTTACTTAGCTGGTTTTGCACACATCATCCAGAATTACATGTGAGTGTTGCAGGTGCATCGCTGTCCTCAGTCACGAGGACAGTGATCATCTGTGGGAGCGGAGAGTCCCGGTGGGAGGCTTTGTGGAGGGGACAGGCAGACAGGGAGGCGGAGGAGAGAGGAGTAGGTAGGCATGAGCTTCCGTGGAGGAGTGGCCAGGGGACCGGGAGTGGTGGCCGAGCACGTGCACACAACCATGGAGGTCCTGGGCCTGAGCAAACAAGTTTGAAGGGATGCCTTCCTGGTAGCCTCATCTGAGCAGGATGTGCCTTCGCTTTCGGGCTGAGAAAACCAAATCGCTTCCCGTCCTTTGCCTCCTGAGCCCGCAGATGGCCTCTCAACAGAGGAAGGCCTTCAAGGGCCCTGGACTCTGCCAGGGGCACGAGGGGCAGGAAATCCAGTCCCCTCTAGTCCTGCTGAGAGAAGGATCCTTGGGGGCGGCAGAGACTTGCATTTTTTGTGTGGGGTTGTTTTGTTGTTGTTGCTTGTTTTGTTTTGTTTTGTTTTGAGAGAAGGAAGTTTTCTTTGTGCTCAGGTCAGCCTCCCCTCTACCTACATAATTAAACTTGAGACAATACACACATTTCAGAAAGGAATAAAAACGATGTCGGAGTTTTGACCAAGCCTACACAGCTCTTGCATGCCTCCAGCCCTTCTCGGTGACAAGAAGTGGCAGAAGTACCCAAGTTGGGAGTCTCACCTGGGTCTCCAGAATGCCCAGACACTGTCCTGGGCATTCCTCATCACACAGGTGTTATAAAGAATGCCTGTGATCTTTCCTTCCTTTTGGCCCTCTGACTTTCTATTACCTTGGGTGGAAACCAACGCTTGGCATTGTAAGTTATTAGGCAAGAGAGGCACAGATGAAGATTTATAAGTCTTCCTTCCATCGGAAATTATATATACGGACAACATATTTCATATAACCTTTCATAGAACATACTCTATTTTTTTGCCACGTGCAGGAAGAATTCAAGTACATTTGTTCTAGATGGAAATAAAAACAGTGAGTTTCTTCTTCCCATAGTCTTTGAAGAAACAATTTATAAGGTGCCAATCTCTTGTATATGAGAGCTGTACTCTCCAAACTAAACACAGAGCATCAAGAATCAGCTGAAAGAGGGGCGCCTGGGTGGCTCAGTCGGTTAAGCGTCTGCCTTCGGCTCAGGTCATGATCCCAGTGTCCTGGGATCAAGCCCCGCATCCAGCTCCCTGCTCCGCAGGGAGCCTGCTTCTCCCTCTCCCACTCCCCCTGCTTGTGTTCCTTCTCTCGCTGTGTCTCTGTCAAATAAATAAATAAAATCTTTTAAAAAAAAAAGTCAAGGTGCCGGCAGATTCGGTTTGGGGTGAGAGCCTAATTCCTGACTTGCAGATGGCTGCCCTCGTAGTGCGTCTTCATGTGGCACGGAGAGCGAGAGAGAGCGAGAGAATTGGAGCGAGCTCTGGTCTCGCTCACTCTTCTTACGAGGACACTAATCCCGCCTCACCCTTGGGGCCTCACCCTCAAGATGTCATCTGAACCTAATCCCTTCCAAGGAGCCCACCTCCAAATACCATCACGTTGGGGGCTAGGGAATCAACATATGAATTTGGCGGGGGGACGCACATTCAGACCACACCAGCTTCCAAATGTTAAAGACAGAGCATGAATTA